CCCTCCAAGCAGGCAGGTGGGAAAATGCCAGGTGTGAGCTAGGCATTAAGATACTGACCGAGCAAGCTGAATTGTGGGCACCTCTGAAACTTTACTGATGAAAATTTAGGCATTAACAGGTTTATGGGCATGTTGGAGATGACAAGCTTAGATTTGAACCCTAAATCCTTTGGTGGGTCTGGAGCTGTGCATGTACTAAAACAAGGTAAGAGTATAGCCAGTTTAAAACTGGAAAAAGGTATCTGGAGCTGCTTCAAAGGCATACATGTTTCCCTTGCTTTATGCGGTTTCTGTATGTGAATTTGCTCTTATGCGATGACCCTTTTTATACCAAAAAATCATTATATGCAAGGTAAATTCACTCTTACACGATCAGCGTGGTGGAAGCCCACAGTCAGCTGCTTTGTGCGGTGCACTGTGGGAGTGACACGCACCAAAATATAGTCTCCTGTGTGGATCTCTGCTCCTCACTCGTTGTCTGCAACACGTGTTTCTGTAGTTGCCATCCCCATTATGATAGTGCCCTAATGTTTGTGTGCACTGTCTGCTGTTGGTGAGTACCAAAATTGTCTTGTAAAAGTGACAGAAATGGGTCTAGGGGTCAGTACAGTCAAGGTCTTGGAACGTATCCCTATTTGTTACATTGTAAAGTGAGTTCCCTTTATGCGAATTTGAGTTATGCGCCGTTTTCCAGGAACGCATATACAGCATAAAAGGAGGAAAACCTGTATCTCAGACACCCCTCTGAGTATCTAAATACCATTTGACCTATTTTGCATATGGAGAAAGTGAGACATTAAGGTCAAGAAAATGAAGCTCATTTGACTTCACTGGAGATCAAAACATCATGGAAATATATTGAGAAGAAAAAAAAAAAACAACCCCTTTTTCAAACAAATATGGTAGAAAACTTAAAAATCCAAAAAATACTGATTAGCTCTTGGCAAGACAATCACAACACAGGAGGCAGGAGTTATAGAAATAATCTTTACCCTTCCTTGATTCCCTGACCATATTACTTGATGGTGCTTCTCTTGCCTATCACCAGCTGCTCCTGTGCTTTGGGAACCCCCTGAACCACTTTCCCTCTAGAACAGCATTTCTCAACCCATGGGGCGTGACCCAAAAGTGGGTTCCAAGAATATATGAAAGGGTCCCAAACAAAATTTAAAAATGGATCAACAAACTTTAAAAAGGAGAAAAATGTAGTAAACATTGGGTTTCCCTTGCAGGCTGGCAGAGCTCTAGCTTGGGGCAGCTCGGGGGCCCCCATGCTCCACATATACTGGGGGGCTGGGGCTGGAGGGCAGCAGGTCAGGAGTGAGGGGCAGCAGCAGGGTCAGGGAGCTGTTTTCTACTTAAATTATTTGCTGGGTTGGATCTGGCCATCAATGTTTACAAATGGGTCCTGGTACAAAAAAGGTTGACAGCCACTGCTCTAGAGTGCACAACTTGCCATTCCCCACCTGACAACTGGCAGCAAAACTCCTGTAACTACACACCCCTGCACCATTTAGCTGACCCCACCTACTATAGGAAGAGTCCTCCATAGGTTGGAGGGAGAAGGGAGAAATCAGAGGGTCTTCTGAGGACAGTCCCACAATAGAGAACCTGGCTGAGTGCACTTCAAAGGCTGACTCAGATGCTGAGATAATGAGGCATGGCTTGCCATGTAAAGCCCTGTGGCCATGTTAGAGGGGGCAGAACAGATGAATGTGCCTTGGAATAATGACCTGCCGCCCATTACACCTGGCAAAGAGTGAGTGCCTGTGCCTGATGTGTTCAGGTATCCAGGTTGTAGCCATATTGGTCTAGAGTCAAAAGGAATCAGAACTCGTGGTAGAGGTAATATCTTTTATTAGACCAACTAGACGTTTGCAAAACAAAAATAAAGAAAATGTTTTTGCAAACATCTAGTTGGTCTAATAAAAGATATCACCTCTACCACAAGTTGATGTGTTCAGGCCATCCCTGAAACCTGGCCTTCTGCCTTCATTAAAATACAATGGGAAGCTTCACTTGCATAAACGAGATCATTGTATTGCCCAAACATCCCAAACTGAAAGGAGGCAATGGAGGTGAGTGACATAATGCTTTAGCAGGTGGGGGTTAAAACTGGCTTGATGACAACAACGCAATTATTAAGTCCTAACTGAGTCATTTGTGGCTTACTTCACCCTGGCTAATTAAAATGTAATCACTATTG